ATTTCGTCGGCGTCGTTTTCGGGCAGTGATGGTGCCGACGGCGAGTTCGGCGATCTGTCGTAGCTGGATTGTTCACTGCCTCTCCGATCGTTCGCATAGAGTCCGAGGTTTTGATAAATCTCGAGCACATTCGATGGTGTTAGATGCTTCTCCAAATATGCTGCAGCTGATCGCGCGAGCTCGGAACAAAGATACTGATGGGCCACGTCAAGAGTAGCTCTGGCTGTGGACACCGTTACAAAATTGACGGGTTCGTCGTGAAGGTATCTGTACAACAAGAAGAGCAAACCATTAAAAACAAAAACAGTAATTGAAAAATTATTACGCGCATCGCGGTTTTTAAATCATTATTATTTCATGGCATGAAATATCTGAAAATGTAATTATCTTTTCTATTCTATGAAATATGAAATATTTAAATGGCAAACCAATTTCTGGCTATCTCTCTCTACAGTGATATAATAATATAATTCTATAATATTTTTGTCTAAGAGAGAATTATACAGAGAAACGTCTGATATCGTATTAATATTTTTGAACGTTTATAATTTTTTATTTTACATCTTTGTGAATTCTATACTTTTAAAAGATAAAGAGAAATTTGTATTTTTGCAAAAAATAATTTTTACCTGAGAAAATGATCGAACGCCCGCTTGTCAACGTGTTGTAATCGCAGCAAGGGTGGCGAATCCGTCTGAGGTGGTGCAAGTGGACCCGTAAGCATTGCCCGAAACCATTCCGATCTTTTGGCTAGTTGTTCTCGCTCGACGCGATATGTCCAGGAATCGCCAGGTAATCCAACCTGTATATTCCATCATTTATCACAATTATAACACATTTTTATCCTTCAGTGTATACAATTTTAGTAAATAATTTTAAGCCACTCAACAAAAGAGCGTGTTAAATTCATGCTGAAAATTCAAATTGCTGAATATTAAAAAAAAGATGTCTAACGCATTAAAGCATACCTGAAGTATTACCATATTGTGGCAATCTGCGACTTGCAGATTGCTTTCGGGTGCCATAAGAGGAACTTGAGACATGTCTGCTTGGAAATCTTTAGAAGACACCTTTGTGATCAACGGCGAGATCAGAATTTTGGAGAAAATCCTCTTGCGTAGTCCTCCAGATTTGTCGCGTCGCTTCTCAGAGCAGTCACGTGAGCATCGTGAATTGTTGCCTGTATAAATTTCATTTGGATGTCAGGAACCACGCAAAATTGCAGCGTAAAAAAAATTATTATTTAGAAATCTTCGTAAAGTAGGACTGTTGGATGGAACAATGCAACTTGAGCAAAAATTTCTGTCTTATTAATGAAACCCTGCTGTATAACACGATGCAATGCTACGCTTGTACTGCATTGCAAATTTTTAGAATATCCTTTATCTATACTTGTAAGCAGCAGCATTATTTTCTTTTTTATAAAATATTGATTTTTACGATGGCGCTGTCCGTGCTTCGTGGAATTACTATCGCACGGCGCCAACAATTTTCATCATTTTATCGATTATTAACGTTTACTTTACATCGACTGCTATGTACACATTACAAGAGGCATAGTATCTAATTCATACATGGGTTTGGCAGTGTTTGTAAAAGATAGGACTTCACTGCAGTTACTTATTGATTTTTTAATGATGAAGATAGCACAACATATGTGGATATTTCTGAGTAATACGAAATAACAGAGAAAAAATTCGCAAGACGTTAAAAAAAGGGAGAAGAAGAATACGATATTTATCTAGGAAGTCCTCAGGGTTGATTATGAAAGTTCAACATGTACAGATAAAATTGCTGTGTGCAATTTCGACGGTAAACAAGTTTATCACTTTTGTGCAAAAGGGGATTCATTAATAAACTTATAATCACATTAAGAAATATAAAATATTAAATATTAATAAAAAATAAACTTTTACGGATTGTAAATATTATACGACGAACACATAAAACCTGTCTCCAGGATTTTTTAAGTTGGACACATTAGTTTGATTTTAGATAATAGAAGAATTGGGATGATTGTTTTAAACAATTTTTAAATGATTAATTTTGTACTTCATGTTAAATATATAAATTTTTTTGGCACATCGAAAATACACACATACTTGTATTAAAAAATATTTTACACTCCAACGTTATATCAGCGCGTTTGGTGACATTCGTAAAATATGGAATCGAAGATACAAAGTATTAATTTTAAAAACAATTATAGTAACTAATATCTTTCAAGAGAAAACGTATCATATAAAATGATATTGACATTTAATACGACGGTCACCGCAAACATGAGGGAGATGCCACTTTATTGACAAAACAGGGAGGACTGTTTGATAGCAACTGTGTATATGTCCAACCGATTATAACTCTCTAAGCTTGGCAACGTGTCTATAAATCACATAGGTATCACTGTTTTATATTATACAAACTAAATTCGCAAATTTAAATTTTACAAATTTGTCATTATCGATTAATAAACTTGTTTCTTCTATATTTTTTCTTTTCCTTTAATTTATATTCGGAGTATAGTTTTTCGTTTTTTTTTTAATTATCATTGCTATTACTATTGTTAAGTACAATTTATTTCCAAGCAGCCCTCAATTTTTCATACACATTATGAACGCTTTAAAACGCTTTGTTATTTGCAAATTTTTATCTTCTCGAAAATAATAATTTTTCTACACAATTTCTATACAATTATAATATTTCTTTTTCACACGTAATTATTTCGTGAAATTAAGAAAAACAACTAAAACGTATATGTCACATTCACCAGAAAAATTTTATTTATTGCTGATGAATAAAAAAGAATTTATCGCAAACAGTCACGGAACAGCCGCGGAACAACCCTTCCGGAGCGAGAAGTCACGACCGACTACTAACAGATTCATCAGTTTTATACTTCTGCTATGAATGACTCAGATTTTCTTCAGAGGAAGCGGTTAACTATATAACTGTGCTTGCCTTTCATCAACTGCATCGATTGTTTACAAACGTGACAAATAGAAGGGACCACTGTAAAAACGCCAGAGATTGCTCATGCTATACTGTGAGAAGGGCCTTATCGATACTTCGAAGCTGTAGGCTGTAGGGATTGAGGAACGAAAACAAAGTCTGTTTATTGTGCTCCGAACTCGAGCCGGGTGTCGAAGAATGCAATATTGATAGCGCGACATCGCCGAAGTATTCAAAGCTTCCTGGCAATAAAGCAAGGATTGCTATCAATACATTTTTTATTCTATTTCCGATAAGAAGAATTTTTTTTAAGGACATAAAAGAGGCCTTAGGTCAAATATTGCATATTATTTACTTGCAAATAAGCGTGATAATCAATATCGTAAATATGAGCCTAGTGCAATTATTTCAATATTAATTTTTATGATAAATTTTACGAAGAAATCTGTAAAACTGATTTTGCAAAAGTCTTTGTATAATATTTTTTCCCGAAATTTTTTTATTATCTAATATTTATTGAATTGTTTTTTAAAATTATTTATTTCGAACAATAATAAGTTTTTTTCTCTATTATCTGTTAGAGTTAGATAAAGCTCTGAATTAATCTTTTTTTTTGTATGATTAATATTGATGCATATGTACAAGGCTGGCGCGTATGTCATTGCGCGCGACAATGCAATTGTAAGAACAACCGCGCTCTTTTGTCGTCTTATCGCGTTCACAGATTTCCGGTAGGACAATTCCGAAGTCATTGCGAAGAACACGGATACACACTGATCATCCGCGGAATCAAAGGTGTTAATCGTCGAACGGCTGAAACGTCGTGTATCGAATGAATAATTGCCGTGTGCTAACCGATCGTAATCGGCTAGTCTCTTTGACAACGCAAGATACAGGAAGGCACTAATGATATTCAAGACAGTCGTGAATGAGTCCGTTTGAAAAGTTGCAATTTCAAGGTCATTATAGCTTGTGTTGCTAAAATATAATATGTACTATTGTCGTCCAAATTGACGCTAACATTCACCCCATTGAGACGCAAATTTTTTTTCGTGTACAGGAAATACAATAAGAATCGTAAGATGATATCTGATAAAAAATGTTGGAACAAATGCACATGCAAAGAAAAAAATATCTGGAAAATATACCTATATTAGCACAATATGTTGCAATAAACAAAGTATTAAATAAATATTGATTATAATAGCATGTAAAAATGAATACAGTGAAATGACTTGTGTAACAATGACTTGTGTCCCAAATTTTGACAGAAAAAAATAATATAAATTTGTAATATCTAAAAGTATTAGAACAAATATATGAGTCATTGCATTCTTACTATTGCATTAATGCAAATATTTCAGATGGTATCGATAAAAAGTCATATTTTGTAGATCACATTACATATCGCACATGACACACTTCACAGTGCGTTAGCAGTAATTTATGACAAAATGCGGCATCAGTATGTGCCCCATTATTAACCATCGCGTCGCGAGGAGAATTTCAATGTACGCGTGTGTTTATAGCTGAGGAGTGGCTCGTTGAGACGATCATCGCGGGAACTTGTACACGTTATTGATTGTGCGAATAACTGCGTTAAATACTGCGTGAGGGAAAATCGTATTATGTGTTCAATCTTAAAATGCTAATATAAAAATAAAAAGGTCATTAAAATAACGATTTAACGATTAATAAGCGGAGATTGATTTCTTTTGATATATGTTATCTTGTATATATTCCATATCTCGTATCATAACATAACGTAGTAATGTAGTAGTGCGATAGGATCAACTTACAATCAAAATACCAACGCCGATAATTTTTGCAACATCAGACAAAATGTTATATGGCTCGAAAACAAAACTATGTAATCGAAACATTCGGCAAATAGGCTTTTCTGCACTCTTACATATTTATTACACATTTATTCAGGCAAATGTAAATTTAATTTGAATATATTAATTGCAAAGTGTGTAAGAGTAGTTATAATACAATTAGTTTAAATGCTGTATGCACGATATTGAATGCAATATATGATTTTAACACGACTGCATTCTTGTTTTATAGTTACATAGTGTAACGCTTGCGGAATTCGCAAATGAATCACGGTTTTGCTAAAATTAGAGCTACGAAAGAGCTCGTGCAGGCGCGGGTGCCGAATGTCAAGGGAAATAAAGCAGAATGATTTGAAAACTATTTTTAAGTAAAAGGAGAATAAATAGGTCTCAAAGGAAATGAATGAAGCACAATGTATCGCGATGCACGTTTTTTTTTAATATTCGAGGAAATTTTTTTGTTTTGTAACGGAAATACGTAGCTGCAGGCTGAACGAATGTAATCGAATTTAGTGCAACTAGAATGGCACAGGGTTAACACGAGCTGACTGTTATGTGAGTAATTAACTTCAACGAGTATCCGCACGGCCTTTTAATCCAATTGAAATTAATGCTTTTATTCCAGACGTGCCCGCATTTCAGCGAGATGCATTAAGATCGCGATGGGAAAAAAGATGGCCAAAAATTGGCTGCTATTCTTGGCTCGACACTACCGTGCTAACGTTCTCTTACTTTGCCGATATTTTCGGTTGCCAAATAACAAAAAAAAAAGATAGAAAAGCATGACAATTATATTATCTCTATTTATAAAACCTTCAAAACACTTTTATTTTATTAGAAAAATAATGATTTATGTTTTTAATTATTTCTGAAGATAATAAATAACAAAAATACTTCCAAGAATTATGTATCAAAATGTAAGATGTAGATGTTTACTATTACTTACAGTTTTAACATGTAATAATTACAGTAAACTGGAAATCTTGGAATATGAAATGAAGCGTGAATAGCCAGAGAAGAAACAGTTAATTACACTTTAGCGGTAATGTTGGCCGCTTGCGGCAATTATACGTTCAACACAATCATTGGGGTTCGCCAATTGATTCAATCGAACAGAAGATGCCGAAGATCTCCCTTCGCCCGCATTCATACAATTGCAAACCCCTTCTTGAACGAATGTAAAATCAAAAATGATTACCATCTTTTAGAAGGGTTCATTATTACTACGATAAATGCATTGTGTGGACTAAACTATTTTTATTTATGATTTACGTGCCATACGCTCTTTAAATTCCGAAAATACCGTTCTACTCTGTGTACACATGTCTTAAATCCTTGGTCCGATATTTTGCCTATTTTCGTTCGTTAAGCTCTGATAGTTTTGATAGTAAATGTAATCGATCTACTGACACATAAAAATAAGAGATACAAAATCAGGACGATCACGTTATTACATGCACCGTTACAATTACGTATCGCATATATTCTAAATCTTTGATCTAACTTTTTGCTCCCTTATGTAGCTCTTACACTGCTCTCTTACGTCAAGCTCTAGTAATTTCGATAGTAAATGTAATCAGAATACCTGTGCAGCCTGTGTAAAGAAATGAGACGCGAAATAAAAAAGACAAGCAGACAATCATGAAAAAACGGCTAATTAAAATGAGATGGATTCTCGTGACAAGGCCTTAAGTCGATGATAAATTACTCGAATCGATTTTGCAAAAAATGGGAATCGACTTCCCCACATGTTCTATATTTCTTTTGATAATAATATATACACGATGTTTCAGAATTGGGAAAACCCTGAATTGAAATGATTTTAAATCGATTTATCTTTGTTGTGAGAATTTTATCTTTTCATTATTAACATTAATTTATTATAAAATTCCTGTATCGCGGAATTCTCATTGCAATTGCAACAAGTCGAGTGATTGTCACGAAGGTTCTTAACGCGTGCGCAATTAAAAGATCGCCGTAAAGTCAACGTTTACGAGCGCGTTCAGTCGCGCGTACGCAAACGTCTATTAATAATTCGATCTCGTCGCGCGTGCAACACGGCATGATCGATCATTGCATCCCGAGGGCGACGAGGACAACGAACAGGTCTGACAGTGAGACGACAATGCAGAAACGTGCGAATTGAATCGCCACACGTGGTACCGCGCGTGGCGCAGCTGCAGCCCTCACAATCGCGAATGTGCGAAAAATACTGTGTCGCGTTGTATCGCGGAAACCTTGACGCGTCGACGCGATAAACGTTGAATTCAGGGAATGGCATCGAAGATACACCGCGCCTAGTATTTATAATCACGTCGAAGTTTTTAGCGATCGTGCAAGGTCTCTTCGCGAGGTGGAATTTCTAAACGCTAAATGCGAGATGACGAAGAAGCGCCGATGACGAAAAGATCGAATGTCAATAGAGACAACTCGTCGCAGAGCGACCGTATGATGACTGTATATGTTGAGAGTAGCAAAGAAAGAATAGAACTTGACACCAGAAACAGTATATCTTATAGATCAACTTCCTATATTGATTCTGCCAAATTTAATTAATCTAATGCTATTAGTCTGACCTTACCTGACGCGCGATTCTTTCTTTTTCTCACACAATCCGCACTGTCAATCAATAAACCCATCGTATCGTTGTTGCTTCGCTTGATGAACTTGTTGAAAAGAGTGAAGATGTATAACTTCTCCATTATTTTGCACTCTGTGAGTAACTAATTTCTGACGACTGACGATTGCGTGTTCGAAGTCGCGATCAATGTTAATAATAATATAAGAGATCAGTTGCGCGAGCAAAAAAGCGTTTTAAAAGGAAAGATCAACTCGGAAACACCACGCCGGCCGAATGACAATCGACAAATGAGCCAGTCGTAGATAAGACGCCGCGCTTTTGTCGCTTTAAAGTGATCGCCGCTATATCCGGCATATCTGTGAAATAATGAAATCACGTGATTCATCATCCTGTTCCCACTCTCCGCGGAAGAAAACTTGCGTTTGACCTAGAAATACACACAACAACGGGAAATATTCTTGAGTGATGAATTCATCAGCTTCTTTCCCTATCGTTCGAAAACGGACAGGAAACGTATTGGCGGATGCGGCGAACAATGCGAAGAAAAAGAACACAGAAAAGGAGAATGTTAGCGAGAGTGAGATACTGAAAATGGAAGAAAACCGAAGCGGTCAGGCATCACGTGATATGGGAATTTGTCACATAATTTTTTTCATAATGATTAATTCGATATTATCGCGCGCGCGTCATCGCGTCACATAATGACGCATTAATGATTATCGATTTATAGTTAGAATTTATTTTTGCTTCATTTGATTTAATTCTTTTAATAGGAATCTGTGTTGTAGAACGCGCGCGCGCGATATAGTATAAAAGTAATCTATAATAATAGATTGTCTAATTTATAATTTATAATGAATTTTATTCGAATATCGATATTAATAAAACTTAATTTTTGTAACAGTTTCAAGCTATGTTATTTTAATATCGCGCTTATGAATCATGTGTTGCAAAATTTGTAGATTGTAATAATCGAGTACGCCGATTGTGATCGAAAAGTGGAATAAGATTACATAGAATTATGTGAACGTTAAATTAAGTGGAAAGATAAGACTCCCAATAGTTTTGTCAAAGTACATAATATCGGTTCGATAACCGATGATAATTGCCGCTGCGTTATCTGCAATGATAATTTTGCGAGGTCGCGAATAATTACCATGAGCATTGCAAAACGGCACTCGACGTTGTTACCATAATTGTAAAACAAATATGCAAAAACGTACGCACACAGTTCCCTAATCGTGTTTTTATACATTAGCTATATTTACAAATTTTGCATTATTGTTAACGATTATTGTCCATCATTTATTTTACATTGCAGCATTGACTTTACAGCACCATATTTCAATTCTCAATAATAAAATGTAACATATTTCAACAGCATACAACATTTTTTTTATTGAGCTGTAAAATTGTAAACATTGTTCTATGAATTTATTATTAAAACAATTAGTATTGAATTTTGTGATAAATAAAAAAATTTTGGAACTATCTGTTCTCTTTAGGCAAGTTTAATTTTAGTAAAATTATAAACAAATTACATTTTGTTTAAATAGTTATCATTAACGGCAGATAATAATTTAATATATTTCACAGGTGCAAGCAGCAAGTTTATACTTATCATATTACATACCGTAGTGCAAGGAGTTATTTATCAATTTTGCGGAATTACGCATACATGGTGCCGATATTTACACGTTCAATAAATTAGCCGAATTGTTTTGGTGCTGAATTTTCTAAGTAAGATCCTGAGATCATACTGTTTTATTATTTTATCATTTACGAGTGAATCAAGTTGCCAAGCGGCTCATATGTCTCGCTTGAGTATGCAATACCCGATGCATAAACTTATTACTCACCCGCGCACGTGTCGCTATTACCGAACATCACTGTTATAAATATTACGTGGCAACGTACTCGCGAATTAAATCAGCACATCAGAGACAAACTATCTGATTGCCGCATTATTCTTATTTGATATTGAATAAGGACATAGACGATTGTGCACACTATTATTATTCTCAAGCCAGTGTCGAAGAACAAATATCAGTAAATAACGGAATCTTTCGACTATGGATTTGTTATGAAATTTATATACAAATTAATTCAACCAGGAAGTTTAATCACCAAATGCAGAAATAATTTTAACAAATCTACAACTTTCAGATTGTTAATAGAGATATATTCAATTTAATAAAAAAGGCATTCTTGTTCTCGCTATTAACACTTTGCATTAAAATATGATTGTGATACACCTTTTTGATCATCAATAACAAAATGTGTGTGTACAGAAGAGAAATTTGCACAAAACAGAATTTTACGAGATGCATTATGAATCGCTTCCAGAAAAGATATACGTTCACGATCGCGTCGGAGATTCATTCATCTGTATGAGAATATGACGATTAGCACGTTGAAAAGAAACTCTCGCACGTTCTGCATCGAGTATATATAATTATGCGGTAATATAACGCCAAGTCACTCGCGACTCATTTCTGTCCGAGTCGATTTACCTTAAGCCCGCCTCGATCTATGTATTTCAAGCGTATCGTTAATGTTTAAACGTTCTTGGTGTGCTTAAACGCCGCGCTCGATACATTTTCATAATCTGACTCACACCTCGAGCGAGAGATCGTGCGTGACGCTCTGAAAAAACACTCCGATCTACACGAACACACGTGTCGGGTTACTCGAGTTTGCTTCCCAGGACTTGCTGCCCGGGTTCGTGTGATTTCCGCTTGACAATTTTACAGAGATGTTAATCACAGCAGAGGTGTTTAATAAAAGTACGATTACTTGACAGTGTCTCTAACTAATTATTTTCTATTATTTACTCTATTTAGCAGATGCGATAAAATTACAGATGTAATAAATCAAAGCAGTTAAAACACACTGTTAATAAAGTATAAAGCATAAAGTATAAAGTATAAAGTATAAAGTATAAAGTATAAATTACACACGTGTAAATAAAGTATAAAGCGTATAAAATTCATTAATTAATACTTTTCAAAATTTTACTTCTTTACGTTAGAAATAAAAAAAAATTAATGCCACATATTATTAATGTAAATGCATAAACTTATTACTCACCCGCGCACGTGTCGCTATTACCGAACATCACTGTTATAAATATTACGTGGCAACGTACTCGCGAATTAAATCAGCACATCAGATACAAACTATCTGATTGCCGCATTATTCTTATTTGATATTGAATAAAGACATAGACGATTGTGCACACTATTATTATTCTCAAGCCAGTGTCGAAGAACGAATATCAGTAAATAACGGAATTTTTCGACTATGGATTTGTTATGAAATTTATATACAAATTAATTCAACCAGGAAGTTTAATCACCAAATGCAGAAATAATTTTAACAAATCTACAACTTTCAGATTGTTAATAGAGATATATTCAATTTAATAAAAAAGTTACGACATTCTTGTTCTCGCTATTAACACTTTGCATTAAAATATTTTTTTAATGTTAATTAATAAATATATTTAGAAAAATTATATAAATTTATTTTTTAAATTTGTTTATATAAATATAACAGATAAAAATTTTTTTAAATATTATCCAAACAAATCAGTAGATAAGTTTTATATTATATTATTTTGAGAATTAATTTATTCTTATTATTTTATGTATAAAAAGATCTTGTGAATCATAACGTAGGAGAAACGTGCATCAATTTTGCGAATAATTTTGCTTTAAAGATGGCCGTACCAGAACGTCGCGCCGGCGACGGCGTGATCAATACTCTCCGTTCATGTACAGTTTGGGGCCAGGTATCTACATTCTCTGTCCGCAACTCGCCCTCACTCGGAGGAGGGAAAGAGAGTTTGTGCTCCGCCGGGTAAAAGCTGCCCCGCGACATCAACAAGCTTGGTAACGATTTTATCGCTTTCACGAGCACCGCGCAGGCTTCACCGACTTCCATCGTCGATATTTGCGATTAAAACAATTTTTTACATTGTCATTTCAAAATTTAATTTCCAAGTTAAAAATTAAAGTAATTTAAGTCGATGCAGCAATGCAAATCGAGAAATTGTGAGCTTTATTGAACATTTAAGAGAACACTTACAAATTAATTTGATTCTTGGTTTTAACTCTTTAATTCTATATACATCTTCATAATTAGAGCTACAAGTATTTTAAAATCCAAAACATGTTATGGAGAAATAAGAGAAATATTAACAATTTTCTAAATTTTAAAAAACGACGTCGATACTTTTAATTTCTGAGAATGCAGAATAATCGATAGCTCACATTTCTTTGGCGTCGGAAATATCGCGTAATTCCCATATTCGATACAGTTTTCCGCGAAGTACCAACATAGGAATCGATAGCGAGATAGCAGCGATAAATTCGCGAGAAGAAATGTCGCAAGTTGAAAATAGATTTCGTATTAAATAATATATATGTAATATATGTATAATTAATAACTAATCTGTTTAAAAAATTTTTAAATTCTATTTAAAAATATTTTTTATCTTTTATTCTATTCTTAAATTTGTAATTATTGTACACACAATTTACGTACGATTTTGTAATATAGTATTGATAAGTATTTGTAATATTGATAATAAGTAAATTAATTAATATTAATGATGATCCAATAATTTCCTAGACAATTTTTTCTAATTTAGTTAACGTTTATGACGTCTTGAGATAACAATAAAAATATGACAAACGATTATCGTAAACTTTAAAGGATAATTATCCGCGATTAAACAATCCGTGTTTTTTCGGTCGCTAGTTTGCGAAGATAATTGCGCGAAAAACAAATGTTTGTTCGTTTACCGTCGTCTACTGGCTTTTAGTACCGTCGTTTTATGTGCGCCGAAATTTACAATTTTTCCACAGGCATGTGCAAACACAATTGCACATGCGATTTCTGAGCCGGCAAATATTGCTTTGATAACGCTAAGAAATAAAGACTCTAACAAATCAAAATCGTGACTGTAAGAATAGTTTCGCCAAAGTGCTCGCGGAAATTGTTCGAAACGCGATAGCGCTTTATGTATATTCAATTCAATACATATGCGTTTCTCGACCTCCAAGCATAATATTTAACTCAGAAACAACATTCAGCTAGATAAAAATTCTAATTTCACTTTACAACGAAAGTAAGGTGATCATATTAATATAAAATCGTCATTTTGTGATTTGCAAAATTGTTGTGAGTACATAGAGTTTTAATTAATTCAAAAAGCAGAAAAATTGGAAGTTAATTTTACTTAGAATTTTTTAAAAATAGTTATTCTCTGTTGCAACTCTGTTTCTAATATTTGATATTAAATATCATGATAACTAAATATCGTATATTAAACTTTTAAATAACAAAATTGTTTTATAGATAGCTTTTGTATTAAGTTTATATTACAAATTTTATTTCTGGTAAATTTTTTATTTTTTCTATCGTTTTTGTCTCAAAAACTGTTAATATTTTGATGATTTTATTAATAAAATTATGAAATTTGATTTTGAATGTATCTGAGAATTCAATTTTAAAATTAGGATCGGAGATTTTAGAATATTCTATAACTTCTTATACAAAATTATAAGAAATAGCATAAATTGCATTGATATAATTTGAATTGATTTATCAACAGATTTACAGCAGCATTATCAACAGATTTACAGCAGATTTATCTGCTGACAGATATGTAAATTAAGAAAAATTAAACC